ACTTTCCTTAAGTGCCAATCCTTTTTCGGAAGGTCGCCCCTACAGGAGCCTATAGTTTTCTAATCAAGGGAGTGTAAGCTGTGTGAGGGTGAACGTCAAACCCAGCAGGAAAAAGGCGAAACTGTCGGAAAAAATCAGTAAAAGAAAGTTGATCTTGATAATTGAGGTAGTAGTGGCTGGTTGTTTAAAAATTGTAAACGCTAAATATGAGTTCCTGGGCATCTCATAGTGGTTGTGTGTATGTGTATAGCATTGGGCTTAGCTGAAAGTTATAAAACTGGCAACTTTTTATGGCACTACCTTACGTAAATAAGTGCCTTAATTTACGCGAAGTGGTTCTCTTTTTTCTCTCTCTGTTATCATTTAAGCTCTTCCTAATAGCCATAACGGAGAGCTTAGACTTTTTTAATATTTTTTGATTTTTCATTACTCTTTTCAGCACTTTAATTTCTTATAAGGGTTCTTTGCTATATGTTTATTTTTTTCTTTGGTATGAATGATAAAAAGTCGCTGGAAAAATTGTTTTACTTCAAGTTTAATTTTGCAATTTTTCTTCCTGGCAGACACGCACTGCTTTGTAAGCTCGCATGCCTTGGAATTTTCCTGATACATGCATGTCAACTATGTAAGAAGGTAACCCCAATGTATATTAAGGGTTGTCGGTTATACATTCATATGTATGTATATGAATTTGTGTATTTATGTGCGTGTGCTTTAAATGGTGGTTGCTAGACATGAATGTATGTGAGTGTACATACTAAAGCATTCTTCCGTCTTATTACTTGATACATTTCCAGCATTGACTTTGACATTCACGCACTCTCTATAGCCTTACATGTGTGTACAATATATACCTGTACATATGTATAGATATACATTAGACAGCATAACTCCAAAAAGAAAAAAAAATCGGTACTGTTTTTCCACTGGAATTATAAAATGTATTATATTTTAAGACTTCCACCAAAATATCTCGCAAATATATTAAGACTTACGTGAGCTGTACACATTTTTTTTTTGAATATTTTTTGAAAAAAAAAAAATTACCTCAGACGACTAAACAGTTTAAGCCTAAAAAATTTGCATAAAAATATTTAAAAAAAATTTTCTATGGAATCATAATAATGAGATTTTTGATTTGATAATAATGAGAATTTTTTCAAAGACTGGTTTAAGAAAAACTTGAACAACTCAGCCAAAACCTTACCAATTTAGACTTCTGAGGTATCAGGAAGGTAAGATAAACGAGTGTCATTCCATGTTGAATTAAGATAATGAAAAAATTGGGACGTGAATGAGTTTTTCTGCAAAGAAATAAAAAGGGTGAGAAAATATCTTTCCACAGATACCTTTTAAGTCTCTATTGGTGAAGTTTTGGAGCAGTTATTCAAGTTTTTCTTACACAAATCTTTGAAGAAAGCTAAAAAACAGCATTAAAAATCTCATTATTATGATTCCGTTGATAGAAATTTTTAATGTTTAAGCTTAAACTGTTTTGTCATCTAAGGGGATTTTTTATAAAAAATCCTTTAAGAAACTATTTTTATTCATAAAAAAACTCCCTTTTTAGAGGTTGTTTCAAACCGGTCCAGCTCACGTAAATCTTAATATTTTTACCGAAATATTTTGGTAGAAGTCTTAAAATATACTAGGTTTTGTAATCCCGCCGGAAAAACCGCAACTTTTTTTGATGATGCAGTCTAATATACATACATACATGTATCTTCAAACGAGTCCCTTTAGTATTCCTACTAGTCTAAAACTTGCTTTTTCTTAAATGCCTATCTATCTATGTGTGTGTGTGCGCTGTTAGGCTTGTTTGTGTGTGCCCATGTTGGGGCACCCATTTTCTGTCGGCATATTTTTACGCCATAATGGCATTTCCTCGCATTCCCCTTTCGTTATGCTTACTTATTATTTAAGACGCACACTTGGCCTTTCCGCAGCATCGTTGGTTGTTGGCTTTTTTTTTTTTTGTTCGGTTTGGCGCTGCTGCTACCTCTCACGCTCCGCCACTTTTTAGCTACATTTCTTTCATTTCAACGCTTGCAATTAAGTTGCGTTTTATTTTATTTTATTTGTAACCAAAATTCTTTTGTTCACGTTGATTTTCTTTTGCTATTGTTATGATTTTATTATTTCTTCAAGAAGAATACAGAAAGGGAATGAAAAATAACTCTAAATCGTTTCTATTGTTGAGCAGCTGCTTTAATTCAGAGAATACAATTTTCTTGTGCTTTCGATTGCCAGCTAGTCGCAACCCCCGTAAGCTCCGATTTTTTTTTTGTTATTTCTATTTTTATTTCTTACTTTATTTTGAGCCAATGCTTTCGTTGCTATCAGTGGTTTGCCTTCATTTTGTTCTTTTCCTTACTTTTCCTTGTATTGTATTATTTAATTCGATTGTGATTGAATTGCCTGCATTCTTGGCTCATCAATTTCCACTTTGCTGTCACTACGTGAGCTCACACAAATATATAACATTACAGTTATCAACGCAATAGCTTTTCTTTCCTCTACTTCTTGTTCCCAGCATTCGAGAATTCGAAATAAAAATATTGTATTTTACTCTTAACCAGTATTATCCTTCAACGTCTTCAATTGTCATACTCCAACACCTTTTAAGGGTTGTTCACACCCTCTCAAAGCTGCAGCATTCACCTTCAGCATGCGTGCTTTGTGCTTGCGTGCGTTAGAAAATACAAAATTTTTCTTCTCCCCACCACTTCATTGCTAGATTGCTCTTTACTCGCACTTTGGTATCTTTATTTTATTTCCTTCTTTGTTCTTTGTTTTCGTATTGCTTTCGGTTGTTCAGTCACCTTTTCTTTTTTCTTCCATATATGTGTATGTATATCAGCTGGTCTCGTGTCTTATTTCACCTTAGCCTCCTGCTGCGTACTCTAATCTTCAGTTGTAATTAATATTTTACCTTCATTTTGTGGGTTGATATTTTTGTTGTTGTTGAGTAGAAACAATAAATCAATCAGTGACAAGAAGAAAGCAACATGTGTTGCTGATATCTAAATTCTGGTATGTGCTGGCTTTGGGGTTGAAACGCAAATATTTCAAAGGAAAATAATCTAAACATTTTTGCTTTATATTAAAGACTTAATTACATAAAGATTCTATGGGGTCAATAACCCAAATGCCATCTTTGAATGCGAATAGTTAAGAACGTTCGGAATCAAAGTTAGCATTTTCGTAGATTTCGCGAAAATCTATTGCGATGGATTCAGTAATGTAGTAAGACATCATTAAATCTTGCACAAATTCAGAAATGGGTCTCAAGTGGATTGTATCTATACAGATTTTTCCAAGGCATTTAATAAGGTATCACATTAATTTTGCTTCATAAGCTGGGAAGTATTCGTTTTCAATCTGTTTTCTTAAGTTGGTTAAAGTCATATCCTTTATGTAGAACCCTGCTGCTACTTCAGGGTGCACCAGGGCAGTGTGTTTGGACTGTCTTATTTTTTAAAGATATCGGGTCCTGTCGATGATCTGAAACTATTTCGAAAAATCAAGTGCGCCACTGCCGCCGTTCGTTATTACTTCTGCTAAAGCTAATTGTTGCGGTCAAGCTCCGATATGGAGGGCTCCTATGGAACTTAATACAATTTCATAACCATTAAATATTGAAAGTTTTATTGAATCTGTGTATTCATAATATAGTTCTCTCTTTTTCACCTACTAATTTGATTCCAGTCTGTAAGATTTTTTGTAATCATAGACTCAATAAACACTCAATAAATACTGATTTGTAATATTAAATTTTGTTGGAAACAGACTAAATTTGGTATATAAAACTGTGGTTTTTAGTTTCCAGTTCTTTGGTAGGTAGGCGTGTCCTTCATCAGATTTTGCGTAAATTTTAAATTTTCTTTAATATATACCTACAAACTATCTATAAAAACTTGCATTGATCTGCAATACCTCCTTTTACTTTTGGCCGCTCACTATTTGGAGACGTTGCACTGTGCCGCTGCTACTAAACACGGTACGTTGTGGAAAACACATTTTTTTTCTGCTTAAATTTTCGCCGCTAGCGCAGCCTCAACTTAAATCTTAATAAGTACTATGCAAGAGGTAGGGAGCTGCTCCGATTTGGTAACCCAACCCCACTGAGAAGTACCCCGTCGAGACTGTCAAACCCCCCTAATGCAGCGTTTTATCCGACACTGCACCTATAGGAAGCTTTTCAGCCATGAAGTTTCAATATGCGCCGCATCACTTTCGGGAAGTCCCGGTGACATGATTCGAAAACAAAAAAATTAATTTAAAAATTCCAGCAACCCATAGACTTCTGGTTGAACTCTTAATTTGGCAAAATTTCTTAGCTAATCATGCCTTCAACCTGGGAGGTGAAAATTCGGAAACGTAAGGGTGGTATATATAATACATATATAATTGCCCAAGGCAGAACTACTTCAGGGAAGCTTCTCTATCAAAACTACATAAGGTAAGCAACTAAAAGCGGGTTGCACAATTTGTTCAAAATCGCTAAGAAGGTTCACGGATTCTTAATACGGTGCTTACTTACCCATCCAGAGAGATAGTTTTAATCTTTTAACACTACGGACGTAATAGCCAACAAACCAGTGTTGGCACTAATCGATTGATTTTTTAATCAATTAGCTAATTCGATTAAATTCAATCCGATTACAGTTAATCATGATTTATTTTAATCTGATTAAACACTTGCCTGGTTATCAGGTTATCTGGTTAAAAATTATTATTTTGTAGTGTATTTTATTGTTGTAAACCGAATAAAAAATATAACCACATAACCTGATAACCAGGCAAGTGTGAACAACCTCAATATGAATATATGGTCAAATGGGTCAGGATTTCAAAACCAACCGTGAATATGGTGAAGAAAGCAGTGGTTGGTTTTTTTAATTATAAAAAATCACTTACCAATTTCACTATGTTATTGCTCCAAAATCTCACAGAAGGTGTTCGTTAATTATTACGTACATATGTAGTTTTTTTTTTTGATTGAAATATGTTTTTTCTTAACGCAGTTTAGACGTTTTTTGTTTTGTAGTTTAGATTTGTATAAACTCTTTCAATTTATACACAACTTGGGGCTCATGCCACGCTTTACATATATTTCATCAACCTCTGAGTTTCACAAGAAAATTCACTTCACATTCGTTTAACGCATTTGTTTCACTGTGCTTAGATTTTGCTATTTCATAACGACTTTTAATTCTCTCCAAGAATTTGCCGAATTTATTAATTCAGTACGCATGCACTAACTCAGTCAAGCAGCGCTAATCACGATGGCGAAAGAATGCTGAAAAGAAAGAAAAAAGAAATGCATTAGCGAAAATGTATAAAAGGATTACGTTAATTAAAACGTAGGAATGTTGCGTATACGCCACGGCAACGCAACAAAACAGTGCGTGGTGGTGATGGGTGAAAAGAAGGCGTAACGAATTTGCAGACACGAGAAAAAATTAAAGTAAACAAACAACAAGTATAAATAAAGCACGGCTAAGCAAATAATTTTACGACGGTAAACATGTGTGCGTAAATGAGCTTCTAATGCGTTGATGGTGGCGGCTGAACGGCGCATTTGGTGACAACATTCGTGCAGGTTTTTTGTTTCCTTTTAAATATTATTTTTGGTTAAGTCACTTTTGTGTTTTGTTCAACGCTGATTTGCAACATTTTTACGCAATTTTTGCTTTCTGCAGCAAATGCTTTGTGCGTGTTTTTCACTTTGTACTTTTTTATTTATTTATATAATTTTTTTTTTCGCACACCTGGCACCTGCCACCCACAGCAACAAAAGGCAAAGTGTCGACACAATGATGCGTGTACGGCGCGTAATTGTGGCAGCAATCAAAACATTAACAAAGCAGCAAAAACAAAAAATGTGAAAATGGCAACAGCAGCAATACCAACAACAAGAAGAACCACAACAAAGGGCCGACCGCGACTACTCATAGCAGCGGATAAATCACGTAGGGGACGCACTTTTTTTATGACTACGTTGGAGATGTAAGCAATGTGAATGTGTGGCGAATGAGAAGAAGAGCAAACGCAGGTAGGCAGAGTCACAGGTGAGCAAAGTGAAAGGTGAAAGGTGGAAGGGGAGGAGGGGCTTGGTATGCAAAGTTAAAAACAACCACGCCATCGCGCCGGTTTGGGCTTTTTGCCGCCACTTGTGGTTGTTATTATAACGCTACTTATTGTTGTTATTACTTACTTGAGGAATGTTGAATGCTGACAAACATGTTTTTTTTTTTTTGTAAGTAGTAAAAGCACAGCTACATAGTACAGCCCAGTGGATTTTTATGTTTCTATTTGCAACTCCATAAATTTAACGAGCACTTGCTCCTCTTCTGCGTATACATATGTATGTATGTTTGTAGGAATATTTACTTTTGTAGCTATGTAAGTATTATGTGTTACTCTCAAGCATCGCGAACGTCTGCCATATTGTCTGGCCGCATTCGGTTAATACCCTTCTATGCAGCAATTGCTCTTACTTTCAAGTATGGCTGAGCTGTAAGTATGTATTCAGATGTGTATACACTCAATAGGTGCGAATACATACATAACAGTAGAAATAAAGTGGAATAGGCGAAAGAAGTTGTGTGAAAATATGCATTGCTTGGCATTTTATGTGCAATTTCGAACTCTTTAAGGATTTCCGTATAGTAAGATATGTATGATTGCCGATAGGATATAAATCGGCTTTATTATTCGAAATTCATACCTAAACTATAACTACGCTGCAACGAAAGGCTCAACATGTATTACCTGATGTGAAGACTGACGGATTTGTAAGCTAATGTGCAGGGGAACAGTTCAACCATTTCGAAGAAGTTTCGATATCGCAGCTATCGGCATCTGTCTCTGATGTGTTAAAACCAAACCGATAACATAGTAAATTGGTCTTCCCGCATTTGATGGCCGTGGGGTCATGCGAAGACTACGCTGCTACCTTCCCCAAAGATGAAATGGAGAAATTCTCTTAACGGATTCAGAATCAGCAAAAGAAATAAGAATGCCATACTTCCATTCGGTAGGGCCCAGATTAGATGCCTGGTTTGAGCAACATCTAAAAAAAGTTTTATTTTTCTAATAGCAGTTGCCCGGAGGGGGCATTCAAGCGAGGATATCTTAGCTGGCAGCCATGCGAAATGAAGAGTAGTAGTGACCTTTTCGGACTCCCATCAGGACTTTATTACTGTCCCTTAGTAAAAGTTGGCGTTTGCTCAGCTTAAGGAGCTCCTTTTATCGCCTTTTGCATATCAGGGTCTTCGCCATGCGATCGCTGAGAAAATTTGTTTTTTTATTTAACGTATTGAGTGAAAATTTGATGTCGATTGCAGTAAAACTGACAGAGGCATGGAAATATAAGTCTTCGGCTCACTGAAGCTCTTAACCCTATACCATAAACGAAATCCTATTGGTCTCGATCCCGATGAGCTTTTTACCTCGACTAGTTTTCTGTCCACTTCGCTTTCAGTAACCGCTATTGGCTATGATTTTGATGCAGTTATCTCGCAATTTATTACTGCTTACGTCTCTCCCTGTGGTAGATAATCGCATAAATGCCGACAACTACTCTCCAACGCAGTTTCACAGAGTTCGTAGGGTGTTATAAGCCGAACTCTCCCAACTTTTGTTAAAATGCGCGTGTATAAAGCAAACCGCCTGCTTCAATACAAACTAATTTTTGAAGCCGAAATCTGCAGAGGGACAAGGGGTGAACGGCGAAGTTGTTTGTTTCTGTCCTGACTTAAAACGACAAACGGTTGTAGAGCTACATAAGATTAAGAAGAAGAATCAAAAGAACGCCATTTATAAGGAAATTTTTGATATTAGTAAATCTTGATATTAGTAAAGAGTCTGGGTTTGTTTATTAAGCATATCGTTTCTACCACACCGGCATTGGTGATTCTGATATGTTTTAAAAAATACTAATTTAGTTCGACTTGAGAATGACTTAAAACATATCCAAAAGCTTATTGGGTACATGGAGTATTTTTTCATGTACATATGTATGTATGTATGTATTTATGCCCAGTTTATTTTGACGCCAGACAGATGTTGCCACTTTGCGTCAATGCATGCGTCAACGCACCTCAGCGCACTTTCCCCGACCCTTTCAGTTTAATTCAAACTCTCGAGCAAGAAGCTTGTTTGATTTAAGCTTTGCAGCAGTTGCCGGTAACGTTGAAAGAACTTCAAGAGTTGTATGTGCTCAGTGCGAAGTCTACCCTATAAAGAAAATAATGCAAAACATTGTAAGGGGGGGATAGAGAGCGCAATGTAGTAAAATTGGGGAAAGCCAGGAATGGAGACACCAAGAGTGGGCCAACAGTGTTGAGACGACGAGGGAGAATAATTACATTTGAAATGTGCTGCATCAGACCGAGCGCGCGCAAAAGCAGTGGCAAACGAGACAGTAAAAAAAAAATAACAACAAAAGCAGAAAAGCGAACACGAGCAACAGCAGCTTGCAGTCAACGGTAGTAGTTAGTATAGAAATCGTAAGCCCCAACATTGCCAGTGATGAAGATGAAGAACCAGCCAGTCTGCTGCGTTTGAGTCGTCCTGCAGTCTGCAACTGACTGACTTTTCATTTATAAATTTATATACGAATGAAAGTATGTAAGTATGTATGGAAGTTAGTGTGATTGCATATGTCTGACTGATTTTCCTCTAACAAACTCTACACGTGTCTGCAACATTAGCATATACATATATGAGTTTACGTATACATATATGTATGTATGTAGAGCTGTATTTCCCTTTTTGCAGGGGTTGTTTATGGCCCTTGGACACGCTTGACTGGTCTCTGGATTGAAGTTTTCCATAAATAACAGCAGTAGCAGGAGCAATCAAAATAAAAACAACAACATTATGCCCAATAAACATTTGATGGCATTCCGAAATTGGAATGAAAATGAGAGTTTGAAACTTGTAAGCTTAGAGCAATTCAAACGTGTCCTTAAATCACTCCCATTTTAGGCAATTCTCGCGCGCGATTTCATATATTTTCAACGAGCTTGCTCTAAGAAATTCTGCGGATTTAACCACCACTGTTTATTGGGTAAAATACTATACATTAAATATACATACATATACTAGTATAAGAAGAACAAATATGTAAGTATGTATATACGAGTATGTAAGCACCATCAGTGTCAGCATAAATAACAACAGCAAAAATGTCAATAACAGTGGTGTACTCGTAGTGCAAGGGCAGTGAGCGCAACAACCATTTGCTGCGTAATCCTCGCACTAAATAAGGCTACCACCACCTCCCCAAGCCCGTCAGACGGTCAGCTAGCCAGCCAGACAAACTCAATTAGACAGCTGGGACTGCAGTCGCAACAGCAAAGATGGCATTAGCGATGGTAACGGTAGCTGCAGTAGCAGTGAGCAACAACAAATTTATGCCCCAACCGAAATGTTTACTTTTCTGCCAAACAAAATTTGTTGAGGGAAAAAGCTCTTACATACATACATATTTGTAATTCGTCAATTTTTGTGATTTTTTGATCCCAGTTTTGGTCGTTTTTAAATGAAATTGTAGTTGCGCGATATTGGAAAATGTAATGTGATATACATACATTAAAGTGGTCCAATATTTGTATGGGGAAAAAAATTTCATCCCATAAAACGAGGCACCCCCTTAGTGTTTTCCTTTTAATATTTGTGATATCTATACCAACTTTCAGTTTTCTACTACAACTAATACAGGGCGCGCAATGACCTTGAAATGCGCAAAAATATTGGTGATTTAAAAAAAAAATATACTGTTGCCAATATAACTGAAGCTTGTGATATTTTTTATTTGAAATGTTCCTAAGTTACTTAACCAATTGTTTGATTAATATGTATGTGGAAAAGCAAATAAATATTAAAATACTTGAAGGTTCGTTCGTTTCTGCAAAGTTTTTTGTCAAGCTTATCCACCAATCTATGGTTTGCCTCTTGATTTTGTCGCAGCAAATGATTTTTATGGAAAACCTTTAATATCAAATGTTTATCTGCAGCTTATCTTTGTCCATGGAGTTTCAACCACAATTTGAAAAAAAAACAGCATTTTTCCGCTATGTATCTGAGTCCTAGTAAGTGTAAGTACGCAGCGTCATACACTTAGCAGTGGCGGCCAGCAACCTCTTTTGCTTACCCTGCAATCGCGCATAATTACAGGAGCAAAATGAAAAAAAAACCTTCTATGAGCCCTTCTTGCCTTCCTATTTTTGTATGGAATCCCCAAAATTTCAAGGCCTTCTAACTCAGCTTTTCAGCATGTTCGGCTTGTGA